AGAAGTGTAGCTGAAATTGCAATTTTTAAACAATCATACAATATTGAGTATTTATGCCTAAAAAAAAAAAACACCCTTGAAAATGTTTTTTGCTGTTCTATTTTAGTACAAAATACCCTATTTCAGGGTTCAAATTCAATAGTTAACGTTCCACAGAAATCGGCAATATATCAGGAAAGTTTGCCACCCCAGAGTATTAATTACGTGTTAAAATGAGAAACTATAATATTACCTTGTTTGTGTAAAAATGAAGCTGCTGCTGTATGTCACTATAGAGCTTGTTCTTTTAGCTTGTTTTTATAGTGAAACATGAAAGTTGAACATTACACAGAAGACAGAATACTTGTAATATAATATATTGATAGCAGGAACCATGTGGTCCTTCCAATGTAACATATGAACAACAGAAAACCATATGGTCCTGCCAGTATAACTTAACATATGGACAAAAGAAGGTCATATGGTTCTTTGAGGTTGTTCTTGCACATCCACTTTTGAGAAAAGTAAAAAGTTTAAACTAACCCTTTATTTTTCAGGAAATTTTTGATTATCCTCCTAAATTCTTGTAAAGTGCTGTCCTTCATTACTGCTGCCATCAGCAGTTCAATCCGTGAGGCAATCAACCTGTTAGAAAAAGAAAATGTCTTAACTGGAGCGTAGTCTGTCTTTTTCTAAATCTTAGAATTGTATCTTCTTGTTATCTACAGAATAAAGCACAAAGAATTCAGAGGTCTTTACCTTATTAATGGTCCCCAATTGGGACAGCAGTAAGTCTAAATTTACAACGCTAGGATCAGGGGTTCAATTCCTCTCTGTGGACACAGCAAATAGCCCAATGTAGCTTTGCTATAAGAAAACACTTACATGCCTTATTAATCCCCCGAATAATCTTGTAAACTTGAGTAAAATCACCTTTTACCCTTCTTTTCTCAAGAGAAAATAAGAGACCTTAATGTGTCCTTATCATATCATAACACTTGCTAGTGAGGCCTTACAAGTAATTTACCAAGAGTTTAATGTCATCAGCAAACTTTATTTATTTACTTATATTCTGATATTAATATAATTAATCTAAATAAGAAAAAAAGCAAAGGTTGAAGCACTGATTTCTGACACAATTCACCAGTAACAAAGATCCAGATTGACTAAACTCCATTAATAATAACCTTTCTTCAATCCAACCACCATAATGTATAACTATTTAACTAGTCTTTCCCCAACCGTTATCAATGTGATTTTCTCAGCTAATCTTTTGAGTGGCACCTCATCAAACGTTGTTTTTTAATTTAAGTACACCAAGTCCACAACCTTTTATCTACACAATAAGTAACGTCCTTTCATTTATTTGATTTTTTTTAACTCTTCAAGATTTTTACCAGTACAGAAATAAGATTAATTGGCCTGTAATTTCCAGGCAATTCTTATCACCCTCTTTTAAAAATAGGAATAACATCGTTGAAATCCCGAGGAGCAACCAATGTTGACGTACCAAAAATGAGAGAGTGAAGCTTGAATATTTTATCATTAACTGCTTTTAAATCTTGGAGGAAAACCTTGTCTGACCTTAGTGTTTATTTTTAATCTCTCAGTCTTTCTACTTATAACCAAGGGATTACTATCTACATGATTCAGGCCAGTTCTAGTATTGCTCTTTGAATGTTCAGGGTCAAAAGTACAGTGAATATCTACTCTTATAGAAACAGAACAGGAGAAAACATTTAAAACTTGGCCATCTCTTGTCATCAACAGAAACCTTACCATCAGCATTAAGGGCCCATTTCCCATATTAACATTTTACAGAACTCTAACAAACATAAAAAATTACAGTTTTAACATTATCCTCCAGCTGTTTCTCATAATCTTTTTCTGATTTCCCAATTCCTTATTAAACCAAATTATCCATAATTTTCCTACAGTTCTGTAAATCTTTCTTTCTGTCTGTCAGTTTAAACTTCTTAACTTTATAGGATTGATCCCTTAATGTCTCCTTTCTGTCTTTAGTAAGCCAGTTAGGTCTGATCTTTCCTGTTAACAACCTTTCATGTTATCCATTTACTCTATTCAAACATGTGCCTATCTAGAATTAAAAGCAATTTATTTTCTAAAACTTATTGATATTTGTTCCTTGTCATCTTTTAACTCTTTACACCAATTTTATAATGACGACTCTTCTCATATGGCCTCAAAATTGATTTTCTGAGAATTAGAAAAAGTTTCATTTTTATTTCAACATCTTGGAAAACCTCAAATGTGCTAGTGCAGTGTTTACTCTTCCCGAAATGTCCTCACCATTTCAACTCTTACAACCTTATCTTTGTTAGTGATTTAGATTAAATGTATAAATTGTAAGCTACTATTAATATGCACAGGGGATGTATTTTGGAGTGCACTAAATTGAGTGTACTGTAGTGACAGCTACCATGTGATTTTTCTCTAGTCACTTGAGAAATTTTAGCTCAATTATAAAAAAAAACTATTAAATTATAAAAGTTAAAAATTGGTAATTTAAAAAGTGCAACATCTTTTTAATTTTTGAGATGTCACTCTACTGTTCAATTACATCTTACTAGCGTAATGCATGTTTAGTGTTATTATATCAAAGTTTCAAGTTTTATGTAATAGGTTTTGAGATTATACCTTTTATTCGGGTACAATTTTAAACACCAAGTGAAAATTACATACTGTTATGTATTAAATACACATGCCCATGTCTTTAGTTATGTACTAAATACACATGTCCCTGTCTTTAGTTATGTATTAAATACACGTCCGTGTTATTAGTTATGTATTAAATAAACATGTCCGTGTCTTTAGTTATGTATTAAATACACATGTCCGTGTCTTTAGTTATGCATTAAATAAACATGTCCGTGTCTTTAGTTATGTATTAAATAATCATGTCCGTGTCTTTAGTTATGTATTAAATAATCATGTCCGTGTATTTAGTTATGTATTAAATAAACATGTCCGTGTCTTTAGTTATGTGTTAGATAAACATGTCCGTGTCTTTAGTTTTGTATTAAATAAACATGTCCGTGTCTTTAGTTATGTATTAAATACACATGTCCGTGTCTTTAGTTATGTATTACATAAACATGTCTGTGTGTCTAGTTATGTAATAAATACACATGTCCCTGTCTTTAGTTATGTATTAAATATACATGTCCGTGTCTTTAGTTATGTATTAAATAAACATGTCCATGCCTTTAGTTATGTAATAAATACACATGTTCATGACTTTAGTTATGTAATAATTACATATGTTCATGACTTTAGTTATGTAATAAATACACATGTTCATGACTTTAGTCATGCTGATCATGATGCATTGTACTTATTACAATTTCTGCTTGATTTTAACTCGTACATGTAGAGAGATGAAAAGAGCATATGTGTAACTTTACTAAAGATAACTGTACTTATGAAGACTTGTATTGTGGTACTTCCAGATAAACTGTTTTCCTTGTTACATCAGGTATGACCACAATTGCTAATGTTTTGAGCAGGAAATGTTATGTTCAGTAAGTCTGCATTTGACATAAATTAAGCTAAATAAAGTTATAGTTAATGGAAAATAATAATTATTACAATTAATTATAGTTGTTCATTCATAGATATGTACTGCACATAATTACTTTATGTACACATGTGTATATACATAAATGATGTTAGGCCTGATTATAAGTTTGCAAGTAAGTCTGCCAAATGACAAACCAGAAGTCTGTTGGTCAGATTATTTGTCCTGAGGACATTACACTGAGTGCTTTTCAAAATAAACTATATAAATATATATATTGCAAGATATTGTTGTGAATATTGAAGTTTAACAAAATGTACCATAATAAACATGATTCCATACAGTTTTTATTAAATAAATTATTTTGTACCTTAGTTGTTAAAAGTGCTAGCAAGTACTTAAATCATTGGAATGCTTCTATTTCTCAGTGGACCATGGAGTCTGACGAAACAAATCCTTCGAGATGAAGGTATTACTGGAATGTTCAGGGGACTCGTTCCCACTTTTGCTCGAGAAATGCCTGGATATTTTTTCTTTTTTGGTGGATATGAATTTACAAGATCTGCTCTTACACCTGCAGGAAAAACCAAAGATGAAATAGGTGAGAATAAATTCCTAGCATCAGAATTTGAAAATAAGTAGGTGAATGAAAGAGGGAAGATTCAATGACGAGGAACCCACTTTGAGACTAATAATGGTTGGAGACGGCTTGAATGGGTAATGAAGAAAAACTTTAATATAAGTTTAACATAACAGCAAATAGTACAACCTGATGATAACAAAACCTTGTCGAAACGTTGTACATTTGCTGTTATGTTAAACTTATATTAAAACTTTTCTTCATTACCCATTCAAACCGTCTCCAACCATTAAAAGAGGGAAGATGTTTTGAGCAGCATCGTTTTTGTGTATGGTTATATGTGTGAACACAAATGAAATAGACATCAAGAAGCAATGTGCATTTTAATCTAATAAGTGTGCCATTTTATATGGTATGAGCATGAATGTTAAATACTTTGTGGAACTAAGTAACAGTCCTTTAAAAAATTCCTTTTAATGATAACTTTTGTTTTCCATTATTTAATATGAATGAACCATACAATATTTTTATACATTATGTGGTGTTTCCTCTGAAAAAAACAAGCAAGAACAAACTTATATGTCCAAAATTTTAAGTGTGTTTTATACACAAATCGAGAATTTAGATGTTTCCCTCTTCTGGTTAACCCTTTTGCAATGGGTAGGTCAAAGTGCCCATCACAAACTTTCATGGAGTTACCTTCAAAATTTAACTAAACTACTTTATTATCAATGTATATGAATAAACTAGTCTTTGAAACATAGTTAATAAATAAATTTTAATATGATATAAGTTTTAAGTTCTTAATTTTGTAAGGAAATGTTTTAAAATTATTCAATCTCCCTTAGTATGATAATTGTGACATTTGTTTTCTAGGTCTTCCCTCTATTTTAATTTATTTACCACATCCCTCTGAGAAATATGGAATTTAACATTAATTTTTCATATAATAGTTATTATTCAACCAAAGCATAACTTTTATAGCCTTCAATTTTATTTGGTTACAGTGCCATAAACTGGAAAATCGGACCCCTCTTTGCCACGCCTACCTGTTACCTCTTCTCTTTCACAAATTACCATTAGTTCTCTCTGATGTTTAATACTATATTAATTATAACCAATAGAAAGCTAGAGTTTTAACCTATCATATGAAATATTATTTTACATTGTTTTCTATACAGAAAATTGTCTTTGTCACTTTCATTTCTAACTTTATTCCCATGGGAAACACATTGAGGAACTTAGCTGAATTTTTAATGGATCGTATTGCATAGTTAGAAAGCCAGAAACTCTGTAAGAATTATAGGACATTGTCTTCATTTTACATGTTATTATTCTGTGTTCTTAGGTGCAGTATTTAATTGAATAAAAAAATAGCTAAAGTTTCATTGACAGTTGACAACAAAAAAGAAGACCCAAGTAAGTGCTATATTTCTTGTTTTTCAAGTGTATTCTGGATTATCATAAAAGTAACAAGTATGTAAAAAATAGAAACTCATTAAGTTAGATTAGGTAAAATAAATAATAATAACAATAATCATTCATAACGTATAATTATGGGCAGCTTGGGAGTAGTACATACATTATGTAGTTTGATAGGGTAACATGAACTACGCATTCACTCACTGAGTGATTTACAACTTGTGTGACAGGATTGTTACACATGATTCAAAGGGCAATAATACAATAAAATTTAAGTTGAAACAGATGTATATTGTTACAAGCTTTAAGCTATTTAGGATAAACAATTGTGGTTTCATGTTACAATTTGCAGTCATTCCAGAAAGAAAAATGGTAATTTAGAATTATTTCTTAACTTTTTTATCATGGTTATGATATCGGCCGACCCTGTGTAGAGTTATAGTATATAAAATAGCAGATAAAATATGAAGTTTGTGTGAAAAAAGACATTTGATATTTATTTAGGAAATTTGAAACTTTTCAGATGAAGAAAAGTATTTTTAATCTTAGCATGAAAATTACTTTACACTTGGAACAGTCAACACTCTGACACCATAAAATTATGGACAAAATTTTAGTAAAACTACTTAAATAAAAATTCTAAATTTTACCAGTTTATCTCTTCTAAGTTAACGTCATGCTGTAAGGTTTGAAGGTTAGTCACATTTACAGTACAGGATGAACATTATAACCTGTTTTACTGATTTCTTGCTTTAAAAGGTCCGTTACGAACTATAATAGCCGGTGGGGTAGGAGGAGTATGCTTATGGGTTTCAATTTTCCCAACGGATGTAATCAAATCAAGAGTCCAAGTCCAAGGATCCAAAGAGAACATGATCTTTCTCATGAGGAAGATTGTTAGAACAGAAGGTAACATGTATATTTTGGTAATAATGTAAAATTTAAGTTTTCTACATTTTACATAGGTCTAAAGAAATAAGCAAGATTTGAGTCAAATATAACAGGTGATTTGTTTAGTTAGGTTTTAGAAATTTAGTGTTGAATATTTAAGGAGAATTGAAAATATGATGAAATGAACATAACACATGTGCATATAGGTTATATAATACAGATCAATGTTAGAATGCAGAAAACCTGTGGTTGCCTTTGTTACCTGTTTATTGTTATGGATCATTGCCCTTTGATTCTGTCTCAGTTTTTCCATGAAGCAGTTTAGATATGTATACTGTGTAGTTTCTGTAGTGCTTAAAACATTTACTGAGCTTTGTGACACCGTGAGGGTATATTCTGTATGTTTTTACTGATGGAATAACCAATGACTTCAGTAATGCAATAATACCTGTGCTTTATGAAAGAGTTATTGTTTTCTGTATGTAGCTGTCGTATTCTCTCCTAGTTTTATACAGAATCCCTTCATCATATTTGGAGCTTTCTTTATTCAGAGAACAGCACTGTCTAGAGTATAGTACACTTGTTACTTTGATTGGTTTTATATTAAATAAAGATCTATTTTCAGTTTGTTTTATCCTATGTTTGGTTTTGGAGTTAGAAATTTATATTTGACTTGGTCTAAGATCTGCTGTTCGTCCTGTTATTTTTACTTGTGTGGTTAGTCAGTGTTTCATTTTGTTCACACTCTGTAATTTCATTAATCATAATTACCATAGCCTTTTCATAGAAGTTTTATTTTAATGCTACATCTGTATAATGCTTGGGGATGTTTAATATTATATTGTTATTTGTAAAGTTGAGACCACATTGTTGTTTTCAATGCAGTGAGAAATAAAATACTATTCTTAACTTAAGGTTAATTGCTTTAGGTAGAGACCGTATATAAATGCAAATATGTGTCTATATTTAATGGAATAATTAAGTTCATAATACATTCTGTGTTCTACCATCTTACAGCTTGTCTGTGTCAACTTTAGCTGAATGATATTATGTTTGAGGAGAGAAAATACTGTATCACCATGTTTATACCAGTAAACTGTGGTAGATTTGAGATTCACAGCTGTACTTTGCTGTAAATCTGAAAGCAGTAATTGACCAATATGAGACTAAGAATGCACTTAGTCTTTATTCAATCATCTTGAGCTTATGAAAAATAAATTAGAGCTATGTTAATTACATCATCCTGCATTAATGTTTGTTTATCCTTTTTATTTCACTGTATATATAAAAACATTAAGGGACAGTTTTGTAAGAACACCATGTCTGCTAGACTCAGTAAATTTTCTAGTGTTAATAATATTGGTAGCATGGTTAGCAGCCTATCAGTTATTACATTTTCTTTTACCAGTATCCATGTTGGTATTCAGCAAAATCAATTATTGTTTGTCCTACATTATTTTTGTTGTTATTTGCATGACCTGTTACGTAGGTTGTTTCAGTTCATAATGTGAAAGATAGAGGTACTGATGTTTGTGTGAAAGATGAGAGGTACTGATGTTTGTATGAAAGATGTGAGGTACTGATATTTGTGTGAAAGATAGAGGTACTGATGTTTGTGTGAAAGATGTGAGGTACTGATGTTTGTATGAAAGATGA